TAGACCAAACAAATATAAAATTATTATTAAACAATAATGGAAAAGAAAATGTTGGTTAACATACATTATAAGCAGAAGATGTCAGACACAAGACAATCAAATCAAAAGTTACATTGAGAAGAGCCATACAAACGCAACCCAACTGACAAAAGGGTAAAAATGTTTAATGGGATTACTTTATTAATCCTGCTGATCTTAAGTGATCTATTTTCAACTATCCGCAAAATTCCAATATCGGGAACACTAACTCTAGGCAGGTAATCATATTATTATATCTTTCCTCACATAACCAAATAATGGAAAAGATTATTTATTTTTTAGAATTCAAGGACAGAGGTGTACAAACTATAGAACATACCATGTTCAAGTGAGGTCGAAATAATGGAAAAGATTATTCATGTTCTAGGGTCTCAAAAGTGCTTATTAAGTACAGCCAAAACCATGGTGGTCACCTTAGGATTTCATATCCTATGTGTTTCCATGTCAACTAAATGTAGTAGGATCAATAACTTTTTCGTGATATTAGTTTAGGAGCGTGCACAAGACCGGACACNNNCGAAATCAAAAAAAAAAAAAAAAAAAAAAAAAAAAAAAACCGCCTAAAACCTAATACTGGAGAGTAAATTGAGGGTCCACTACCCTACATTGCAATGCTAAAAATGGGTTTCTCAGAGAACTAAGTAGTATTAGGCCTGGTAAGAATTTCACGAAAAAATCAAAATAAAAAAGAAAACATTAACGTTGAGGGCAGTAGCTTCCAACATATTCAAGTGAACCTAGCATGTAAATACAACAAAACAAAAAAACTATACACATATAGATACAAACACACGCATGAACACACATATATATAAATATATTGACAAGCTAACCTGAAGAAGCGGCTCCATCGCCAGCAGCAGATGAGATACAGGTCGACTGCAGTTGATTAGAAACTTCACCAACTTCCTTCCCATTGGCCTCTACAAACAGAGAAAGAAAGAAAATTTAGTCGATAAACTCGGATTTGAACTAACAATTAATACATTGAGAGAAACTAAATAAGAGACTCTTAGGGTTTGGGAATACAAATGACCTTTGAGGAGATCGGGATAGAGATCGGGGGCATTCTGGATCAACCAGGGCTTGCATTTTTCGAAATCGGGACCGAATTCGCAATACTCGGCCGGCAAACTGCAGATTGGACAGTACAAAACGCGTATCGGTTGGGGTTTATCTGCCATTGGAGCACCTCAAGCACAGCCTCTCAGCCCCCTTTCGGTGCGGAAGACAGGGTTTTTCGGTCCCTTTCCTTTTTGTTGCCTGAATGAGATTCGAGAGGCAATGAACAGTGAAGGAGTTGCGTCGGAATGTTATTTTCTAAAATATATAATATTCTAAATATTCTAAATTACATTAAAGTATTTTAATTAAATGTGATGATCTATACATTATCTAATTATCATGTTTTTTTTTTTTTATGGAAAATCATAAATATAAATCATTTGTTGAAATTAATATTTGTGTTAGTTACCCATCGATCAAAAATATCTATAGTTATATGATATCGAAGTCGTCGTTGCCTACTCACTTTTAGTTTATAACATTGTTTTTTCTAAAATTATTTTCAACGTTTTTCCTCGCTCGGGTTTTTAAAAATATTTTCTTTCAAATGTGACTCTAGACTCGAGCATACGCAAATATTGTCTGCAAAGTCTGAATTTTATATGGATGACTTGTTCGTTGATTTAGTACAAGTGCCACAAAATCGTTATCCCGCTACCGCAAGAGTGTGATTGTGACACTTATCATGCACGGAGAACAAAAAACGCCATAAATTTGGCTCGAGGAGTAGCTACCGTGAATTCAAATTATCCCATTTTAAAATTTATTCAGTGGGAAAGGAAATTTGATCACCTCGCCCTCCCCAACCAAAGTCAGGGTTGGCCAAAATACTCATGTATATCTTTGAAAGTCACTAACTATACTAACAAGGTATATGTTCCTTTTCCATGACTCAATCATATGAATTTTATGGTTAAATGTGCTTTATTTAGAATAATTTTATATTTAGCGATTTCTTAGAATTTTTTCTGGAATACACGTGAGTAAGGATAAAGCATGAGGACTGGTGTCGATTTGGGAGATAGTCTTCGGTCTTTAAAAAACGGGAGAATGATTAATATCAATTTAAGTATTGAAGATAAAATTAGAAGGTTAAAGTTTATAATTATCTAACGAATATATGATTTTTTTTATTTTTATTTTATCTAATAAAAATAGATGCCAATTAATAATTTACAAGTAAATAATAATTTCAAAATTTTATTTATTTATTTATAACATATAAAAAGAATATGCTAAAATAGAATTAGAATATGAGCTTACCAAATAAGTACATATATATAAAAACAAAATCAACGTCACAATATATAAAATAAATATCTGGTGACATTATAGTCTTTAAAAGATATTAAATAAAAAATAATATTTCCCATAGTAATTGGACCGACAATTGTAATAAATTGAGAAATGTCTAATAATTAATAAATACCAAGTTACTATAATAATTTTTCCAACAATTATATTTATTTATTTATCAACAAACAGCTTATTTTTTTAAAAAAAAATTGCAATAATAACCCCTAGTCTATAATTAATTTTACTTTAAAATATATTTTTTAAATAAATATTATTATTTACATTTTATGAAATTTTAAAAGATTTAGAAAATTACATTAAACTATAATTATTATTTTTCATTTTAATTTTAATACACTTTTAACAAAATAAATAAATAAATTATTTAATTAACATGAAATTTAAGAGGGTTTATGCGTTTGTTAATACTTAATTTTATTAAAATAAATTAAATAATAATTATTTTTTATTTATATACAAAAATAATAATATATTCTCCGGTTCTAAAGTAAAATAGTGCAAAATCTATCAATTACATTCATCACATAAAAGATTAAACTAAACGACAATTATAGCTCCTCATCTAAAAGAGTAACGTTGCAACATCTATATCGATATCTTTCTTAAATAACTTTGACTCTGGGACAGACGGATCTAGATTGATTTTAAGATTTATTAAAAATCTACCCGCTTAAATTTAAAATTTTTAAAAATTATAAGTATTAGAATGAATTAAAATTAGATATTTATTTATTTATTATTTGAAATTAAGCGAGTTTATTAAAATTAAAATTACTAAAGGAAGTATTTGAGTGATCTCCATTTTATTAAATTTAGTGAATTTGAAAAAGGTTATAATAGTAAAATGCAAATTGATCAAATTTAATTTTTATAAATGCAACCCAATCCAGTCCAACCCCAACCGCCGGAAGGTCCAAAATTTGGCTAATTTTCGTGACAACGACAGCTGATAATTAATTTCTTTCCGCCATTAATGGCGGCTGTGTTCCATTCAGACAGAAAAACCTACGAAATCAGACCAACAAACCTCACAAAACAGAGTTTGTACAAGAAAAAAAAAACAGAGAAGGGGGATTTATTTATTTATTTATTTTTTTAAATCAAGAACTGAAATGAAAAATTCGATCAGATGTGAAAGAAGATAAAGAGGGGGCTTAATGTTTTTTGCCTTTAATCATGTCTCTGTAACGCAACAGAGATTCCAGCCTCTGCAATTTCAGCTGCTGCTTGAACTTGTTTATGAAATCGTCAGCTCTCACATCCACCTCCTCCTCCTCGTCGGCAGTTTCCAGCGCTTTTGGTTCTCCAATCTCCGCCATCGTTGTCGCCGGACGACGCCGTTCAATTTCGCTTACTGATTCCTCTGTTTCGTCCTGCGCCGCTGTATCCACCCTAGTGAACGACGTCCATGATAGCTTCTCACTCAGCGATTTCTGCAATTTCGCCCGGAAGCTCGTCGTCGGAGCGTGGGGTTCGGTGTTGGATTTTCTCCGGCTGATGGAATGGTCGTGGTGGGTCTTTTCCAGGCTCTGTTCTGCTGCCGACTGTGGCGTTTCCGGTTCGTCGTTTGAATCGGATCTGTAGAGGGTGATGGATTTGAGGCGATCCAACACCGATGGAGCTCGGTCGAGTCGGGTTGGAGGGTCTGGATTGGGGTGGTGGTCGGAGTGGTAGGGGTAGAGGTTGAAGGACTTGACTCTGTCTAGGACAGAAGGGTGGCGTAGGAGGGCGGGGCCGTCGTGGAGATGGCGGCGGGAAGTGATGACGATGGTGGCGATGACGACGTTGATGAGGATGAAGAGGGAGGTGGGGGTGACCCAAGTGGCTAAAGAAGTCCACATGTCGGAATTGCGGTGGTAACGACGGCGGCGATGGAGGGTTTATGGTGGAGATTGGGGGAGGTTTTTATGATTGAGGATGAGAAATTTTATAGTAAAGAGTACTTTTCTTATGTGCCTTTATTTAAATTTGCGTGGAAAATAATTTGGGTTGGTTGGATTTGATGGACTTGAATAAAACATGCTTATTTACTGTTTATATATATATATATGTTAATTATTGTCACTTTAAAACAATAATTATTTTGTAATGAAATATTTATTGTGTGTGTAATTTTTTATAAAAAAGAATTACATAACTTTAAATTACTTTTTCTAATCTATTTTTCGATTTTCTAAAACATAATAAAAAACTTTTATATCTTTATCATAAAAGTTCTTAAAAGATCATGTTGTATATTTTGTATGATTTTAATGTTCGAAAAAATGCTCAATTGAGTTCGTAAATCTTAAAGATGGTTTAATGTCGATCGACAAATTAATATCTAATTATTTTTCAGTATCTTATTGCAGGAACAAACCAATTCATTATTAGAAATGATTATTTTATTAAACAAAGATGAAGAATGAAGAACCTTTTAATCTCAAAGTGAAATTCAGATACACAGAAGTTGCAATCAAAAAGTAGAAGGAATATCAAATATAATTTAATAACAAAACACTAGAACCAACTTTCTAAGAGTGATTCCATGGAGGGCCCTTTTTGAAACTTTACCTAAAATGCAATGCGCTCCGTCTATACGAAAGACGTAAAGATATTTTGATTAGAAGTTCAGAAGTTTGAATCTCACTCCAGATTTGATTGAACAAATCCATTGTATTATTGAGGAATGAATGGAAGGAGGTTAGCTTTGGTCGATCGAACCACACAGAATTAGAAATCAGTTGAACTTAATCAGCAAAACATAAACGTAATTATTCATGGGCGCAACTAATAAAAGATCCAGCAGGAACCTGAATGCAGGCTGGAAGAACTTGCTCAAGCACCATCCTTGCAATGCGGCAGCCTTGTTTTAATGAGATTCAGAACAATTGAGGCTAACTCTGTTTGGTGTGAGGTGTAGCAATGATTGGCACCTTCTACGACATGTAACTTATGGTTCGGTATGATTTTATCGAACTCAAATGCATCTTCAACAGGGATTACTTCATCAGCAGATCCATGGACTGTGAACACCCTATCAAATATCATCATTAATCAGTTAATGTTTTCTGGGTTCCCACCAAATATGGGAAAGATAGTTTATACAAAGATATGCCTGATCCAATAAGATTTTTGAACTTTTCCTATTATTTAATCTATCTTATAGAACAGAGGAAGATTGAGCATTTATCCAGCAAAATAAAAAAAAAAAATCTTGACAATTATATTTAGGCCAGTGAGTCAATGAGTCAGACTGCTTGGCTCCTTAACAAATGGCTGGTGTGTTAGGAATCACGACTCTCTACAATTGTATGATATTGTCCACTTTGAGCATAAGCTCTCATGACTTTGTTTTAGACTTTCTCAAAAGACCTCATGCCAATGGAGATGTATTCCTTACTCATAAATCCAGGATCATTCCCTAAATTAGTCAATGTGGGACTCCCTCCCAACATCCTCAACCTGGTACCTCAACGCTCAAAATACATTAATCAAGAAACAGTTGTGCTAACTTTACACAGAAACCCAATCTCCATAATTTGAGGCATCCAGAGAGTTGATCAATGACACAGTAATAGAAACGTCCAAAGGAAATATCTCAACAAACTTTTCAAAGTGAACAGGTAACTGATTATGCAGTAAGGCAAATATGAGGAAAGGAAACGTAAAGAGAATTGATCGACTCGCCCTTACCTGCATTCTTTGTCGATTAGAAGACAAGCTTCATGCATATCAGTGTTTAGGCGATCCTTCAAGCTCTCCCACGTCACTTGATAGTCTACTTTTCCTAAAAAAAAAAAAAAAAAAAAAACAATTTTAACCAAATAGTGATTTAAACATGCAATGAGACTGTTTCATATGTATGGAAATGCCCCAATTAAAGTTTTTGAGACATAAGTTTTACTGCAGAAAATATGACTGGAGAATAACTCAACCCAGAAAATTTGAAAATAATTGCAATATAGATACCTTTCTTATTCTTGACATCAATATATCCTTCCTTTTCAATTCTTTCCATAAATTCATCCCCCAAGCGTTCTTTTATACCTTTTTTCAGATCATAACGTCCAGAAACATTGATAACAAAATTGATATCTTGATACTTGGAAGCATACAGAAGCACCACGTCACCCCCTGCATTTAATTTATTCATAACTAAAGCACTTATTTCAAAGAAATTGCAAGAACTGTTAATTTAGTAGCAGAAATATTGCGTTGGTTGATCTGGGTATTCCATACTCTGTTAAACATACTTGAACAAAACAGACAATTCAACTTCAAATTTCACTTCATGCTTAATAAAACACTGCAACTTCCTTTAAATATCAAGACTATTTTGGTGAAGTTCATGATATCCAGTGAAGGTCATATAGTCTACGGAAAAAATGTTGAAATAATAGTAGTGTTTTGAAACGGATCATTTTTTTATAAGCACCTTTAGAAAATATATTATAATAATAATAATAATAACAATATTAAATGATACCCTTAAGCATTTTAAATTGCTTTCTTAGGTAATTTGAAAACCTCAAGCATTTGTGTTCAATAGCCAAACATCATGGAAAAATAAAAAGTTTAGGAGTGATTTTAATTAACCAAAAGCAGGCATTTCATGAGTCCAAAAGTTATGCCAAATTAAGAAAACACCGTAACAATGTGAACTAAAACAACGCTTCTATACTAAATCAAGAATCCTTAAATGCTAACAATGTGAACTTTACAACGCTTCTATACTAAATCAAGAATCCTTAAATGCTGACAATGTGAACTTTACAACGCTTGAAAGTTCAAACTGCATCAATGTCAAAATAAATAAGTAATGCAAATATTCTAGTGCATGAGAAATAGAGCAAAGCATCTCCTAATCCACGGACTGGCTACTCTGTTTACAACACTAGTATTCCCCGAAGGAATGGGAATTTAAAAGGCAAATAAAACTTAGTCCCAGTACTCTGGCAATGACTTCATAGCCTTTGCCTCTATTATTTCGTAAGGGCCTGGATTCAAATTATTATAAAAACACATTCTACCATGTAGATGCACAATGCAATATGAACCTATCATTCAATTCCTAGCCTATGAGATAAAAAAAAGTAATTACTAAATCACAATCTAGCTTGGAAGTTGAGATGGATCCCTCTCAACTTTAAATATAATTTTGGCCTCAGATATTATCTACAACTTATTTGGTGTTGAGCACAGAGAAGGAATTGGCAACCTTTACTATGCCCAAGGATTCCACTTATGACACGGCCTGCTGCACGCCAATATTGGATTATTGCATGCAAGTCATCAGCCTCTCCATGATAATAACCATATTGAAACGAACCTTCGCTTTCCCTGTAAGAAAATATTCACAAGAAAACCAGTTCGAGAAAAGGTTTGGTGTAAATATTTACAATACTGCATTCACGGCCAATATATTGTTTGATGTAGCGAATATATACAATAAAAAATAGAAATCCAACTAGGAGTTTACAGACTGCCATTCACAGCAGTAGAAGAGGTTTGATGAATAAACTTATAACATTTCCATTCACAGCCAATATATTGTTTTGAGACGAGCAACATTTGGATTGATGCAAAAAAGATATACAGTAAAAAACAAAACTCCCACTAAGAGCTTACAGAAAATCATACCAATCTGAACCAACTAGAGTATAATTATGAAAGGACTTAGATACAGGAAACCAAGAAGAACAATGTTTAGCCATATCAAACACCTCTTTCTACAGTGTTTGCTTCTCATTGAAAACCGCTTTATTTCTCTCAAACCATAATCCCCATAGGATTGCCAGAGTAGTAAAAAATCATCTTAGAATTTTTCAATTACCGATAGATTCCCTTTTGCTGATCTATCCATAGCCATGAAAAACTAGGGTACTCAAATAATGAATACCGACAATGCCTACTGTAAAGGGCACTGAAATAACAAATGATTTTGATCATCCTCAGCTCCCCATGCATAAAACATGATAACTTGGCCTCAAGGTCATATTTGGACATTTATGCTTTATTCTATGCCTCTAGATAAAAGAGCCAAATGATAATTTTATGTTAAATTACAAGTCAAGTCCCTAAGTTTCGATGGTTGTGTGTATGTCTGAATCTATAAACTTTAAAAAAGATTTGAATGTCCAAATGATTTTGATCATCCTCAGCTCCCCATGCATAAAACATGATAACTTGGCCTCAAGGTCATATTTGGACATTTATGCTTTATTCTATGCCTCTAGATAAAAGAGCCAAATGATAATTTTATGTTAAATTACAAGTCAAGTCCCTAAGTTTCGATGGTTGTGTGTATGTCTGAATCTATAAACTTTAAAAAAGATTTGAATGTCCAAATGATTTTGATCATCCTCAGCTCCCCATGCATAAAACATGATAACTTGGCCTCAAGGTCATATTTGGACATTTATGCTTTATTCTATGCCTCTAGATAAAAGAGCCAAATGATAATTTTATGTTAGATTACAAGTCAAGTCCCTAAGTTTCGATGGTTGTGTTTATGTCAGAATCTATAAACTTTAAAAAAGATTTGATTGTGCCATTGAATTCTGAATTATGATTCTATTTTGTGTACTTTTTGTTGCTAACGCCATTAGCTAAATGACAATGTGACATGACATACAATTAGCAAATAAAGAGGATAATTGGACCACATAAAGTGACACGGTCTATAAAAGGGTGATAGAGTGGCAAATTATTACCTTGATTGATGATACAACTTTTTTTTTTTAAAAAAAAGTTCAGCTGCCAACACTTTAAGGTGCTTTAAGTACCTTACCAAAAAATAAGCGCTGGCCTCTTTCCCTTATAGCTATTCTATACTCCTACCCCATTTTATTTAGCCAGTAAGTAACATTCAAAATGCGAAAACTATTGCAGGAAAAATTCAAGGATAACTGACCATATGTAAGTTTTTCAAGGAGAAACTAAGCATTCATCAAGAGAAATGAAAGAATATCTAAGAGCCTAAAAAAGGCCAACAAAATGAGGTATGAGGCATTTAATTTAATAAAATTCCAGACAATAGGAAGGAAGAACAGGAAAATATTACACTAAATAACACCTGGCTTACCCATTTCCAGAAAAGTCAAAACGGAAGGCACTGATTCCTTCATTTTCTAATGTCTTAGCAATGTTTACGCTTATATCATTTTCCTGAAAATAGAAACCAAATGCTTTTAAATGTTTATCAAGGTGACGCCATATAAGCAAGTTGGATCACCCAGCCATAATCACCAAAGTCAATAATTTGATGGTTGTAAAATTAAATGTGGCATGCACGGGAAACACACATTATTTCCCTAAAAGCAGAGTCTTACAAGTTTAGCTATGCACATACGAACTTCAAAGAATCCAAATTTTAACTGGAAGAGAAAAAACAAAATTGATAGCATGGTTTTGAAATTAACCGAACTAGGAAAAATGTATGACAAGTCCTTGAGCAAACCTTGTTCGAACGAAAACCATGGCACAAAATGACAACCTCCGCTGATCCCGTATCATGAAGTATGCCCACAAGTTTTTCACCTTTTTTGTTGGGTACTATGACTTTCTGGTGCTGAGCCACTGAGAAGTCCAACTCCCATGTTAGTATTACTATTATACAAGCATAATCAGAACTTACGAGTTAACAACCTTGCAATTTAAATTGTAACAATTGCCTAATCCTGGTTTTATCCTTAGTTAGTCCCTAATATTTGTTTCATCAGAACAAGCCATCAGCAATAAGAATCAATAAATGCAGGACACGTTTTCCTTTCTCTCAAACACCAAAATGGCAATAAATCTTTAATCAAAGCAACTCAAGAATCATACTTCCAGGCCTATGTTCTATTGATTAGTTATGATCATCAGAACTTCAATTCGTCACTGTATTGCCGTCCCCCTCATGTCAGTAATAAAATGAAGACAAATTTCAAGCAGAAACGAATACAGTAAAGAAACGAATCAATAGGGTTAAAAATCTACTCGTGTCTTTGCTGCCACGTTGCGGGAAAGTAAGAATGTTCCCTTACCGGGAGTTTGTACATCAGAGTGGGCCATCTTTAGGGCTCTTGCGAAGCTCCGACAGCCAATGAATCGCGCCTGCAGGAAAGGAGATGTGATCAGAGGAGAAGGTCTAGAGATCCTTGAAATTGTCCATGGATGAAAATTACAGATCAGTGCTTCCATTTCTACTCTTTGGAATTCAAGAAATTTTGGAAAGGATGAAAGTGGAGTACTTACGTCTTCTTGTGCTGTTTCTGCCACACCAGTCAATTGGAGACGAGAAGAGTGAAAGGATTAGGACCATTTATTTCCCAATTAAATAGTAATGATAATAGTTAGCCAAAATTAACACATTGTCTTTAAAAAATACATTTTTAAACTTTAAAGAAAATCTCAAAAATACTTTTCTTATTTTAATATTATTTCAAAAATACATCAATAATTTCAAAGGTTAAATTCCGCTCGATTGTGAACTTTATTTAGATTACTCAAAGAAATTCAACCTAACTCGTTGTTGTTGGAGTTCTTTGAGCTATTGAAGCAGCTTCCAAGTTCTATTAACCACCAAACTTTGAGGAAACAATGTCTCTTACTTGGCTCGGTGACAACAAGTCCAATGTACTCAAAAAGCATAAATGTAATAGGTCAAGTCTATCGCTAATCGATATTGTTTTATTTGTGCTTTCTCTTTTAGGTTTCGTTTTAAAACGCATCTACTAGGGAGAATTTTCCACATCCTTATAACGAATGTTTCGTTCCCCTCTCCAACCGATGAGGAATCTCACACAACTCACCTCTTGGAGGTCAGTGTCCTTGCTGGTACACCGTCCGATATTTAGCTATAATATCATTTGTAATAGTTCAAGCCTACTACTAACTAATAGTATAGATAAATGGTTGTTCGGCCCTTCTATAGATACGTCTTTATGATTCCCTAGACGTACAAATCTAAGTTTAGTTATCATAAATTTCATATTAATGTTGATTAGTAGCATGCTTAAATGAGTGGGTTGAATTGTTTGCATACGTGCATAACGGAGACTCAGTGATATAGTGAATATGAGTTGAACATTATGAATAAACTAAGAATTTCGCAGATTGTGCAAACTTCGTATGAATTCCTATATATTTTAGTTTCTTGTAAAGGAAATTGTTGATACGGTTTCGGTTCGGTCTGTATGAAATCGTTCGATTCTCAAATTTAAAAGTATTTTTGATTGAACATCTAGTATCATATAAGAAAACAAGTAGAAACCCCAAGTCAAAGATCCTATAAATTATCATGTGAAGGACGTAAATGAGAGAATAAGAGAGAAAATGCGAAGAAAGTTATCATCAAACTCAAACTCTATTGGTCTAAATACCCGTAATTCTTCTTTCTACCATGTCGATTAGAAATCTCCAATCAACATTAAAAGAAAATGTACCCTGCCATCATCTTTCGGCTACACATCAACATTAAGTACGAAAACAAGGTTGCCCAACAATTTTTCTTGATGCCCTTTGAAACAAAGTGGGTACACAATTATATAGTTGAGTTTAAAAGAAACAGAAACAAGCTGTGGAAAACTATAGCATAAACGAAAAAGAAAGAACCCTAAACCCACAAGAAAATGCTCCAACTACATGCGGAATTGACGATGCTTGTATGCTATTTAAAAGGAATCAAGGGCCAAGGCTTTCTGGTTTATCAGCACAAGGTAATTTAACACACCCTATTTGCTGAAAGCAAAATATTGTCTCATATGCATTCTAGGGGAGTAATCAGAGTCGCAAAGAGATGACAGGATTGAAGAAGATAGTTCAACTGAGAAAACAGTGCACATACGGGCAAACGAAATGGTTAATAGTTCACAAAGATATGTTTTCAAAGCTACCCCGGAAGCAAAATCATAATCCTATCTCATTTTAATTGATACAACAACACGACAATGTTTTCTCGAAGTAATGGAATGGCTCACCTTCATTAAGATAGCTAAGTCCAACGGCCCTATACTTGGCACTGGGGATTGGCTATTGATCATATCTATAGGCTCGTCTTAGTATTTCAGAATAAACTGAAAATACTCGGCCTTTCATAATTTCCCATAAAAAACCATTCATCTTGCAACCGAAGTAAATCGACAGATTTATTGAACTCTATTACCTGAACAACAGGTTGTTCCAGAGGCTTTTCTAAAGAAAAATTTTATGAATCAGCGTCCCCATCTTTGCTGCTATTGGAATCATCAGTTGCCTTCTGTGGAGTCGTGAAGCGTCCGCTAAGGGGATCAACAGGACGAGTATCACGTGGTCCACCTTTACGTGCCATTGCAACCATTGGGGGTGGTGGAAGTACCCCTGCTCTAAAAAGAATTCGCTGCACAGGATCTGAAGGTTGAGCACCAACTGAAAGCCAATATCTGAAAGGGAGGGAAAGAGTAAATGGTTACTCCAAATTTTAAGATGCTATCGTGCTTGATGAGCTTTAAATTGGAGACTAGCACAGTCAATGTAGTATCTGATTTTTTTTTCAATAAAAAGGGAATAAATAAATTTTCATAAAACGTGTGAGTCGCCGGCTGTACACTGTGACCAACGACAGGTGGTAGAGGTAACAGAACAGTGGCATGCAAGGGAGGTTTTGGTCAGCTTCAACCCCGGATTTTTGCTTGAAATCGGAGAGTTGGGTACCTTAAGAAGGGAGTGGGAGGCCGATTGGAAGGGGAGGAAAAGGAGAAACAAAGGAAATCGGCTGCTGAAACTCGAAGCAAACTCACTCTCGCTGAATAATCTGGAAAATAAGTGGAGGAGGGTCCCCTTTTAATTGGATTTGAGGGTGAGAAGAGTAGAAACACTTGGAAAATGAAGGGGTAGAAACGATTTAGAGAGAAAACGCTGAATGCTAAAGACTTGTACATGATGGTTTACTCTTATGCATTGCATGATACCTTCATATAATAGGAATGATATCCTAAGATAAAGATTTATCTTACGAGTTTCATCCTCTGAGATCTTTACTAATAATTAAATAGAACTTGAAATTAGGAATGCAATGAAAGCAAACAAAAGATTCTACATTCCTAATAAGAGAACTGATTGATATTTGATAAATTCATAGATGCTCTACAAAGTAAAGATTTCTCATTGTCTCCATCATCTCGATAATCAATTCCTTTAGGTATCTAGTTAACTGGTGCACTCCCTCTATTTTACCATTTCCTACTGGCTTAACCAATGGACATGCCCATCAGACAATCGCACACTTGGCTACTTTTTGACAAGTTGGTGCCAGCACCATAGTTCAATTCCTTGCTCAACTAAGTTGCTTCCTGACATAACTTTAGCTTACAATATGAAGTTCCAGCCATGACATGCAGAAAGAACCACCAACTTTTTTCAATTCTTTGCCGCCACAAGAAAATAGAACCACTTCTCAAACACCTAATCAACTAAACTACTGGGGCACTTTTTTTAACTTAATTTGTCGAGTAAAGATAAATTTAGTCAATTGACACTTTTTTTACATTTTCACTCAGGTGTAGCCAAAATTCTAATTAGACTCATACAGTGCAATGTGCGACTTGTTGCTATAATGGGACGGAAAGTATCATAACATGAGCTTGAATTTAGGACCTTTTTTTCTATTATCAAATAGGACATCTTTTTTTATAGCATGTTGATTCACCACTAGACCTAAAAGTTTCGACCACTTTACATATTGTAATTAAAAGCTTAAATTGTTAGACTAGACAGAATTTAACGTTGTAGTAATTCTCTATTTAACCACAGAAAACATATTAGCCTCAGAAATGGTTCCCTAAAAGTCCATCGAAGAAGCATTGGCGAAATAATCCTATTCTGACAAAGGAAACTAGTATTTACAATTGCAATGCACCACTTAAATTCGGGAATCGTAGATATTCAAGAATAAACAAGCTTTAAATCAAAAGAAATCACTTACTTCACTCTTTCAAAATTAAGACCCATTCGTTTACCGCCATCTTGACCTGCACAAAATTACTCAAATCAATGGAGAGAAAAAAAAAAAAAAAAAAAAAAAAAAAAAAAAAAAAAAAAAAAAAAAAAAAAAAAAAAAAAAAAAACGAATGTTTTCCTAATCGAGAATCTAAACTCCAACATCCAAGCTAGCAGGGGAGTAATCAATCACATTTTCGAAATAAACAAACAAAACAAAAAAAGGAAATAACAGAGGAATTAACCTGGCAGGGGATTATAGTAACCTAGAACCTCGAGATGCTTGCCGTCTCTGGGAGATCGGCTATCGGCAGCCATCACCCTGTAAAACGGCTTGTTCTTGCATCCAAACCTCGACAATCGAATTCTCACCACCATTTTTGAGCTCGTAAAACCCTGTAAATTCGCCAAAAACTGAAATGACACAGATCTATCCGAAGTCGCGCCTGCCGCCTCCCCTCCCGAGGGGGCTCCTGGTTATTTATCATTTCACATTCGGATCAATTGAACCGAACCGGTTTAGGCCCAATAACCTATCATGTGGCCCATGATGATACAAACTTATTTCCATCTTGTAGGCCCAATAAGATGCGACATACAGCCATTGGGCCTATCAAAACAAGCCCATAACCTCTTATGCGTTGAAGGCATATATTCATTTTCTAGATTTAACGTTTATTTTATTCAACTCTTCACACTTTCTAAAAAATAATTAAAATTCGAAAAAAAAAGAAATTAAAATAATCATTTTGGTCGTTATCATAATAAATACACTGAGTGTATAATGCATTAATTTTAAAAAAAAAAATACTAAAATAGTTATTAAAAAAACATGGTCCAACAATAAACATGTTCATCCGACAAATCATGTTCAATAAATAAAACCTTAAATTTGTAAATATTAATACGTGGTATTTCTATAATATAAACGTTTTTTAGGGAATTAAAAATTTAATGATATATTAGAAAAATCAAATTTTAAAAATGTAAAATAATTAAAATTGTTAGATATTTAAAGGGCACAAAGATGTGGAAAATAGAGTCCGTATTGACCGACCCTAAAAAAGCGAATGAAAAGACCACCAACTCCCCGTTGTTCCGCATTTTTGCATTAGCCATCTAACAACAACTGTTAGACTTTGAACGGAGAATTCAAAGCATGTGTAAGCAACTAACGACCACATTAATTAGTTCACTTCGGTTGAAGAGGAAAACGAAACGTTCTTAAAGATGTAAAAATCTCTCCCTAAAACACGTAGTTTAAAGCTATGAGACTGACGACGATACGTAACGAGTTAAAGCATATAATATCTGTTAGCAGTTAGCTTAAGCTTGAGAAATAATAATAAATGAAAAGAATAATATATGGAACTATGTAGAAAGTAAATATCTAGATATTTGATTTATAATAAAATATCAAATATAATATATATATATATATATATATATATATATATATATATATATGATAAATTTTAGGTATATTTTCAAACAAATTCCTTGTTCTTATATGTTGATCTAAAACCAATAATATTTCTTTAAACCGAACAAAATTTTGCATACGCTCATCTCTGTTCTTGCAACATGCCTTCTTCGTTCGTACAATACAACTTTCATAGACACGAAACAGGTGAGCGAGCATTAGTTATTGGATCGTTGTATTCTTACGATACCAAATGCATGGTTGAAACTGTAAAAGAATGTCAATTTGAAGATTTAGATCGGAAAAATCTTCGAGAGACAATTCATAAATATCGAGAATTGAAACGGTATATTATCCTCCGTTACGGGATGATTTGAGTAATGTTTCAAAATATTATTATAATTGACAAATATTTTGAATTGATTAAACGGATAATTCGAATGGCTCAAATACGATTCAGAATCCAACCTTCTATTTTATTTGATTGAATTGGAGTTTTTTTTTTTTTTTTTTTTGAATTATTTAATAATTAAAATCTTACTAAATTCAAATATTCAAACATTTGTAACATTTATTACCAAAGTCAAACATTTTTAATTTTCAGAACAATCGTAAAAGTTGACTCGTTTGATAGCTCAATTTATTTGAATCGAGTTATTTAAACACGAAATAATTAAATAAGAACCGGATAATATAATTTATTAGATCGACATTCTAAACATATTCAAGTTGATGAGTGAGAAAAGGAGGAGCACGTGAATGTGACAGAAAGTGGAAGATTAAAATACAAAACACTAACTATACGCTAAAAATAGAATATCAAATACTTTATTATATATTGCTTTATAGAATAAGGTAAGTATTAAATATTTAAAACAATATATTTAAATATCTAAAACGAGAATATGCCCCAAACAGAGAGAAGAAATTAATTTTATTTTTAAAATTATATTATAAAACGAAAAATTAAAAATAATATTTAAAAAAATGATTGGATGGTAACAAAAATAAATGTTGGATAAGTACTGCGATGTGAACTAATAATACGACGTGTCGTTTTAGAATTAAAAGTCAAGGTCAAACTACCGACAGCTGTGTGGTTGGAGAGAGAGGGGAAGCCACGCGGTTCCTTTTTAATTTTCCTATAAATCTGTTTATTCTGATTTACGCCGTAAACAGCTAAACGGCTTTGGACCTACTAGTCTACCGTTTACATCACTTTCCATTTTTATTTTTTTTTATTTTTTTTTTTTATATTTTTCTTTTCAATTCAAAACACACGTGGAGCTAATATATATATACATATATTACCAACCTAATTTTTAAAATTTTAATTTTACAACACTTTAAATAAAATAATTATTAAAGTTGAATTTTTTTTATTATTTGAAAAATAATTATTAAAACCAAGAAGACCAATTACACGTGTAATAGAAAATTGAATTCGATAAACTTCAAAAGTCTCTTAATTTTTAAATTTATTAAAAAAGTATGTGACTTTAACTTTATAAAAAATACGTCACTGTTTATTAGACAACTTTGATCCAATTTAAAAAAAAATCAAAATATATCTTAAACTAAATTTCTAATTTAACCTATTTTAGTCCTTTTTTATTTTGAACATTTATATAAATTATTTATATATATACTCAATTATTTAAAAAAAAACAAAATCGTAATTTTGTATTAAAGAGATTCGACATATTCATAATTTAAAAGGGATAATACCAATAAGTTCAATATTAAACGTATACAATAATTACAACAATTACACCATAGGTTGAATATTTTATGCTCGTCTAGTGGAAAGTTAGTTAAATATTTTTTAATAGGTTTAAGTTTAATGCACACCAACATTTATTACAAGAATATAAAAAAGAGGAAACGACCCCATACCACAACTAACCAATTATTTAGTACAGTTGACACTAAATTAGTCGGCTAATTTATCTTATTAAGAGATATAAGAAGTCAAATGTATATAAATTAAGATTAGAGCTCAACTAGGTAGACACGTGAAATTATGAAAACATTAAAAACATTAGCTTTTCGAATAAATGAAAAATTAATATGATTTTTCAATAGAAGATCAACATTGAAATTTAAATTTTTAAACCATATGATAATAAAATTTAATAAAGCCTATACTTTGTAAAATAATTATAAAAAAAAGGTTTTTAAGCTTCTTTGAATCAAAAGATAAAAGATCAAAGAACACAAAGATTCAAAGCTTAAAAAGGTTTGAACTTTGAATGAATCAAACAAAATCAAACTCGTGGTTTTGATTTTACCTTCCCTGTTTTTGACACGCCATTCAGTTTTTCAAAGCTTCAGTTCTTGCTCTGTGTTTCGTGCACTATAAAAACAGAGCTCAAGAACCCAATTCGATTCATAATTCCATCTTGTTCCCTAATAACCTTCAAGAAAAAATCTACCCTGTTTCGATTTTGATCGATTAAGCTTCTGGGTTTTGATTCATGGGGTTATCCCTGTCACTCCTCATGTCATCCTGGAAAGGAATTATAGATCAGGGGCTGGTAATCCTCTGCAAAGCTCAGAGTTTCTCTTATGGAGAAAGATCCTTGGCTTTGAAATCTAACAGCTTTAAAATTACGGATCAAGAACCCATCACAAACAGAGCAACGAGAAGCAAGCCCAACAGTCTGAAAGGGAATAAACCAGAGAGAGTGATTCTTGAAACGAATCTTTCCTTTAAATCGCTGGTTGAGGACGGGGGATTCACTTTCTCTGTTTCCTCCGGGAAAAATGGCGGATTGCAGGGGGTAAAGGCGGCGACGACTCCCGTAGTTCCTCTGCCGGAGCCGGCGATTATGTACTCTCCCAGACCGGTGAGCGAGCTGGATGCGGCAGCAGTGAAGCTGCAGAAGGTTTACAAAAGTTACAGAACAAGAAGAAACCTTGCGGATTGTGCGGTGGTTGTGGAAGAATTATGGTGGAAGGCGATTGATTTTGCCAATTTGGAACGAAGCTCTGTTTCGTTTTATAACATTGAGAAGCCGGAAACCGCCGTCTCGCGGTGGGCTAGAGCCAGAACCAGAGCAGCCAAGGTAGGGAAGGGTTTGAGCAAGGACGAAAAGGCTCAAAAACTTGCTCTTCAGCACTGGCTTGAAGCTGTAAGCTCATAAATTCTAACCTCAAAGCTCTGCCTTTCATTGCATTTTAGCTTAAAGATTCAAAACTCAAATGGGCTTGGATTTCGTAACAGATTGATACCCGTCATCGCTATGGCCACAATCTACACTTATACTACGACGTATGGTTCGTGAGCGAGAGCAATCAGCCCTTCTTTTATTGGTAAGCTAAGTTTGAGTACTCAGAAAATTGAAGAACACCCTCTTAAAATTGCAAACCCATGTCTAAAATTACCTTAAATCTTCATAAACGCAGGCTGGATATCGGAGACGGCAAGGAATTAAGCGTCGAGAAGTGCCCAAGAACGACTCTGCAAAAGCAATGCATCAAATATTTAGGCCCAGTCAGTGTTCTTCTCCACCACCATCACTGTTCCATTTGATTTTGCTTCTTCTAAAAAAGCTTTCAATCTTAATTTGATTCTCAGAAAGAAAGAGAAGCCTATGAAGTAGTGGTGGAAAATGGGAGACTGGTTTACAAGCAGAGTGGATCCATAGTGGAAACTCAAGAAGGTTCGAAGTGGATATTTGTTTTGAGCACTACAAGATCTCTATACGTTGGCCAAAAGAAGAAAGGGTTATTTCAGCATTCTAGTTTCCTCTCCGGCGCCGCCACCACCGCCGCCGGAAGATTAGTGGCACACGACGGCGTCATTCAGGTACCCAAATCTGAATCCACCGATTCCTATCTTTAATTCTTCTTCTAAATTGAAATGGGGATTTATAATGCTTTGTTTTATAGGCGATTTGGCCGTACAGTGGTCATTATCATCCCACAGAAGCTAATTTCCAAGAATTCCTCAGTTTCCTTAAAGAAAACGACGTGAATCTTACCGACGTTAAGGTAAAATATCGATTCATTGAACTAATTTCATATCAAATTGAGAGAAAATTGTAATGTGCTTACATTGGCTTTCTTACCTTCCCCCAGATGTGTGCGATTGACGATGACAGTCAATACAAGGCCATCGATGAACAACAGAAGCCGCAATCACGCGAGGGTTCCTTCAAATCTACGCCATTGGATGAAGCCAAAACATCACTTGCCGTTGATTCAGTAGAGATGGAAGCCGTCGTGCCGCCGGTGGCGGAAAAGACGGATGAAGCGACGGCGGTGGCGGCGAAATCACTCAATCTGTCGAAACGGTTGTCGTGTAAATGGTCGACAGGAGCTGGCCCTAGGATTGGGTGCGTCCGGGACTACCCAGCCGAGCTACAAACGAGAGCACTGGAACATGTGAACTTGTCGCCTCGAGTGGGCTCTGGGCCGTTGGTTAATTATGGGCCCATTCCATCTCCACGTCCAAGCCCAAAAATTAGGCTCTCACCAAGGCTGACTTTTATGGGCCACCCAAGCCCAAGAACTCCAATCTCTGCAGCAAGTTAAGCCCAAAATTGGGGTTGGTTATAGTTTTGCTAGCTCGGCCCAACAATAGGTGGGAGTGGTCAACCCAATTTTTTGATTCCTTGGTTTTTCTTTTTTACTTAATTTTTTTTAATTTATATTCTTCAATTTTTCTCGTTTATAACGCATTAATTTTTTTTTTTGATTAATATATTGTTAATAAAAGTTGAAGGTTTAAATACTTTCTTCCCCATATTAAATTAAAGGAAAATGAAGAAAAAACGAAAAACCTTTAATTAATAAATAAAACTTTAATGGTGACTGAAAAAAGAATCATGGAAATTAGCTTAGAGAAAGTCCCGTTATAATTCTTTTAGTAATATAACTTAATTATGATATAATCCATCATTCATACTCATTATGTTCATAAATCAATGTAATATTAGGTTACATAATGATCTCAATACACGACAAATCATTGTAAAATATATAATAATTTTGCGATGCATAAAAATATCAATATTATTGTTGTCATTCTAGGCAATACAACACTAAGAACAGCAAAACATGAAGAAAATATTGATGCACAACATGATGTTGTGAGCAAATCCAAAAAAGGAAGCAAATTTAATCACAAAAACAGACTTTAATTCTCACTGATGTTGTAGATATATTCTCAAAAATAAAGATAAAGATTCCTAATTCGTCTCTTGTAAACAGCAAAAGAGACAAATTAAAGATTCCTATAAGTTTTCTACCTCTAATGTTGTTGGATCATGCTACTGTGATGTTAGATTAGTCAAGGTGCCTGAAAGTTGGGCCGAACACAAACGGAGTCATTAAACACGAAGAAAATATTGATGCAACATGAAAAAAAGCTTTAGTTCTCGGCGATCTCAAGGATATATTCTCAAAATAAAGATAAGATTCTTAACTCGTACAAAAATAAAATTCTCATGAAAACAGCAAATCTGAAAAAGAGGCAAATTAAAGAGCTCGTAAAGAAATCTAAATGTTCTATAGGTCCACCAACATATCAAATATCTTATAAGTTTTCTTTGTATCTTTTAAGTTAAGACATGCTCTCAAAAAAGATACCTTCCATTCTACGCCTAATGTTGTTGGGCATGCTAAATGACGTTAGATTAGTCAAGGTGCCTGAAAGTTGGGCCGAACAAGGACTATCTTCAATGTATATTTGATGGTAATGAAGTGTCAAAATAACCAACCAACTAACACGAAAAGTTATTCAATGAAGTTGCTATAATTGGATGCAGATTCAAAAATTCGCATACGTTCGAGTAACCTCTAGATACAAATTTGAAGATTTTTTTTTAGTTTCTCTCATACATATACTTTTTGCCAAATTCACAACCACTCTGTGGTAGTCTCCCCCAATAATTTCTCAACTAAAAGGGAGTGGTTGGAGCTAAAGACATAGAGATGACAAACAAGTTTGTGAATGATGAGGAGCACAGCAAAGGATCCAAAGCTCAAATAAAAGGGCAGTGATATCATTCTTCAGCAAACCATTTTGACTAATCTAATCCAAAATTGCACACCCCTCCACTCTTGGATTTGGATTGTTGAGTGGTAATGAGACTGGGAATCGCACAGCGCCTAGTATCCATCGTTTACGGCTAGGACTACTAGGGTATCCAAGATCCTATATCAGCTATACATCCTCCTTGCATTTATGCCGGAGACGTCGCAAGTGCTATGGGTTAAGTTTTACAAAGGTATGTGAGATCCTACGTCGGTTGAAGAGGGAAACAATATATTCTTTATAATTGTGTGGAAACCTCTCCCTAACAAACGCGTTTTAAAAACTTCGAGGGAAAACCTAGAAGGAAAAGCCCAAAGAGGACAATTTCTGCTAGCGGTGGGTTTGAGCCATTACCCAAGGCTAAACACATATATAACTAGTGCTAGTAAGTCTTAATGAAGATGAGGCACTGTTTCCCCTCTCATTTTTTACACACCCAAGGCATACATACAAGTAAAAAGAAGAGAGGCATGTCTTTACAGCAAATTGTTTCATTACAACAAAACAGCAACCCAACACAATTCTTATCAGACCCATCATGGAAGCATCAAGATGTCAATTCTTAACCACGAAAACCAGAAATCCTCAAGTTGAAACATCAGAGAAGACAAGTCCTACAGTAAGCAGACAAGCAACAATTCTTTCCAAGAATGGAGTCTATTCTAAGGCTCTTCTATAACTGAATTAAGTTTCAGCAAGTGCAACACAAACAATCCATATCTACTCATAAAGCCATGATCTCCAATTCATGAGAAAAAAGAAGAAAAAAAAAAAAAAAAAATTCTGTACTTCCAACAATAGTTACACATTCAAAGAGATTCATAATAACATCAAGAAACAGATTCTTGGCTTTCAGAACTATAAGCTAATTAAACAACATAGAGTGGGGAAAAAAAAAGCTTGGTACCAATTTAAGCCGCTCGTTACCATCCAAAGACCATCCGAGAGCATCTTTCCTTGAGCCACCTGAAGCTCTTTCTAAAAGACCCTTTGACTTTGCCTTCCACAGTATAAACCTTGTAGCTAGCAACCCTCCTCTTTCTCTGCATCTCCGGATCGTTGAAACTCCAGCTCTTCGACGAGAATCCATTCGTCGATTTCCCTTTCTTGAGCTTCAAATCATTCCCCATCTGAGTTGGATTCGCAGACGAAGCATACGACGCACTGTAACAACGAAAATCTTGCATACCCATTCCGCCGGAACCGTTCGGTCCTCCTCTTGATTCGTTTCCATAGTAGTTCTCAATCTGCATTCTTCCATCCACATAGGAGTTGGATTTGAAATCCTCCATTGTCAAGATACAGGATCCGAGAATTTGAGCTACGATACACTCGAGGAACTCTCACACAAGGGACAGCCCCGAAATTTACCTCATGTGCAACTTTTGCAACAGTGGAGCTCGAATCGAACGCCTTTTATGACTTTTCTCAAAGGAGGAAAAAGAAACGTAACCCTCGTCCGTGGCCAGTGGAGATTTGAGGTTGCGACGGCTGGTAGTGATTGTCTGGTAGCGATTAGAGAGAAATTGGAAGCGGATTCCCCCAATTAAAGGTCATCAAGGAGCCGAAAGTTCATAGTTGACCAGACTCCAAGTCGCCAAATTTTACGCAGTTTTGTCTTCTTTGATATATATATCCATAACCATTTTTTTCTTTTAGGGTTTTGATCCGAAGATTCTGAACCCAATAAATATTTTGAGAAGAACAAGTTCATTTATTACCCTACCAATTTATTCCTTTTTTTTTTCAATGAATGAAAATTAAATTTTGTTGAAAATGTTTTTTTTTCTTTTTTCTTGTTATTGCTCTTGGTAGATTTTAATAACACGTTCTTGGTAGATTTTAATAACACGTTGGAGTTAAGCGTATAGACATTTTAGACAGATAAAATATCTTAACCAATTAAACTAGGTTCGAGTTGAATTCATGCTCGTACCTCAAACCAACTCAATTTATATACATTAGCTATAAAGAATTTTCTATGACCACATTGTCTCACAAACGATTATCTGGGGTTGGTGGATAACTAAGTTTTTCCTAGATCAAAACAAATCAGCTTGCTTTCTTGTTATCCAAAAGTCGGTTGAATCGGACGAATCGTCGTCCCCGATCATTTTACTTCTTGTTTCACACTTAACAAGGAGTCCATTTGTCAGTCATCTCTATTCAAATCTTCGATGTTTATACTAATTATCATATAATCAGTGACTACTAAAAAAACCCAACCGTTTATAAGAGTGATAATTCAAATATCTGACTTTTTTGTTGAAAATTATGAAGTTGTGAACACTCTCCACGTTGTTTCTAACATCTCTTAGACTAAAATCCTCGAGCGGGACCAATTACGTTAAGGACAAGAACTTCATATTGGAAGTAAGAGATTAATTACCTACATCCCACAAGAAGAAAGTTTCTGGATTGCAGCCCCTTGACAGGCAAATCATGAAGCAAATACAGGCACCTCCAAATTTCCCACACATCCTCAACTCCTGCGGTGAAGCAACGCATTATATACATATATATTCATCTGTATTGACAGAAGAATGTACATAAATGGCTTCCAAACTGTGAGATAACGTCCACGAGACCACCATAGCCTCCGACTGCTGCGACCTGAAGGGATAAATAAACCATCCAAGAGTGAGAGAAGCATAGAGAAATGAAGCACAAAATCATTTTTATGCATCATTTTATAAGTTGCTTGAATTCAATTTATCCCCACAGGAGTTCTATTTAAAGATTGGATGAAAGCCTACGGAAGATATGCATCCGATATGCTGATATGTGAACCGACATATGGTTATGGCGTGATTCACTAAGATTTAAGGATGAAATACGAACAGATTGTGGCATGACTGAAATAGTTGCTCATTGGCATAAGATTTTAAGAGGCATAAAAACTAAAGTGAACAACAAGGTTGGTATAAAAGGGCCGTGACAATTTTAGGTCCCGTTTGATAATCATTTGGATTGCTAGCCAAATTTCATAACAAAAACAAGTTTTTGAAAACATATGTATAAAAAAATTCCATAGGTGGAACTAGCAATTATAATTGATTAAGTTGGCTTCAAGACCCAATAATTGATTAAGAGGAATTGGTAATTTCTAATCTTCCTTTAATGGAGAGAAATGAAGAAGTTCCATAGAGAAGGCTGACAGAAAACCAAATGACAAAAGGAATTATAAGTTGAACATACGCCAGATGGATGCACAGCGACAGAAAAAGCGGATTGAGGGGCACATTGTATTTCTGAGAGAATTGATCCATGTATGTCGAATCGAGTTAGTAATGGTTCTGCTCCAACGCCTAGTATCTGCACAAGGAAAATCAACAATTAACATAAAATGGTGCCAGAAAAATCTGATCTAACACGAGATATTAAGATGACAGAATTTGATATATTCACGCCTTAATTTTTAGAAACTCCTGGCTATGCTCCTGTCGTATTATGGTGTAATAATATGCACGCTTCTTAACTTGTATCTCAACAATAATTATACCAAATGACTTCTCTGTTACATTAAATTATACAAGCACCTTGGAAATCTAAATATATTTCTCGTGTCTCATCATCTAATAGTTCAAGAAGGAGAATCACTCACTTGATTATCACAAAAAACCATATCCTGCATTGAAGAACGGGTCAAAGTTCTTGAAATGAAATCTGAAGCCGGAAGGTTCCAAACTGAAAAACTCCGACCATCAGCACAGGCCTAAAATAAAATACAGCAGATGAATATCACTCCATTGTACCCATCAATACAGCAAGAGATATATTCTCAGCAAAATGATAGTCAACCTTACATCTATAAGTTTTTTCATCTATTTTGCATAGAACTTAAATTTAAATTAAAAAAGTTGGAACACTATTACAAGTGCCATGCTCAAAGTTGAACCAAGCAGTTTTTCAGGATGGGATCCCTAATTTGTGTATCAACGAAAATTTCATTTGTTTGGTTCCCAAATGGTTAAAGACCTGTAGAATGGACGTTCTGACCAGTTAGCTTGGTAACTAGTGTGTACACAATCATATCCAAAAATGAGCATGGGACTGTTGATGAATGGAGGATTTCTAAGGGCTGGAAGTTGAAGATTGATATATAAAAGGCATGTGGCTTGTGAGTTGAAATGAATTCAAGTCATCTTGAAGAAAAAGGCAATTCGGAAAGAGTGGGTGAGGTTGTTTTATGGCTGTATTTCAAATAGAAAGTTATTTTTTCTTTTTCTTGAATGGAAAACCAACGGAAGGATAAGAAAATAGAGGCAAAGGTAAGGTCAGTTATCTTCCTTTTCTATTAGTTATTTGCAACTGGTGAGTTTAGAGGTTAGCTGGAGAAACAAAATAAATATAAGCCACTTGCATTTGCTGATGCTCTTTTATAATGTTTCTAACGAGGAAAAGCTTTTCAAGTTGTTGAAAATGAAGTATTTGCTCGAAAAGGTCTCTGGTTTGAAGATCGGCATGGAGGCGTTTACTCTAGCAAGAATCAACAGACAAATGAGATCGAATCGCTAAGCAGATAGATGGTCTCGTTCGACAGGATATTTGACTGTATCATTAGGATGTTCCTTTTGAAGGAAATCTGAAAAGGTAGAATAATTGGAATCTAAATGTGGATCCAAACAACAAAGTTTTTTTAAAAAAAAAAAAAAAAAAAAAACGGGAGATAACATTATAATACAAAAACATTACCAAAATATTTTCCTTCAAGAAGAAAAAATGTTTTCATTAAAAATGATGAAGAATAGAAAACAGGCCAAACAATAAAATAAGACAACAGCGGTGCAAAAACCCATATTCAAATCTATAAGCAAACACCAATTATAGACAATACAAGAAAAAGAGGGAATATCCAGATCATCGAGTAAATACTTACCAACCAGCTTTCACTTGCATCAAGAGCAATGCATCTAACACAAGAAAAGTTCCCTTTCTGCTTCTTATTATCCTTCGCTGGGTCGATTAGTTGAATGCACTTTCCAGTCTTGCAATCTTGTTTGATAGTATAAACATGTTTAAAATACAATTTTTTAAAGACACGTATAAGATACAAAATTTTGCTCTTATAACTTCAATATTTATACCAAAAAATGTCCCGACTTAAATTTAACAAGTTAGAAAGTAGAAACTACAAATTGATTGATGACAGACAATCAAAGAGAATTCACACCCGTGTTCTCCTTGAGAAGTTTTAACCACTATGCTAAACTATGTTCTCGCTCAACAAATTTATGGACTATGGTTGTTCTAATAGCATTTAACAATAAACATGACATAAGTGCATGTAGAAAATGACTAATGTTGATTCACGACCTTCTGCTTATATATATATATATATATATGTGTGTGTGTGTGTGTGTGTGTGTGTGTGTGTGTGTGTGTGTGTGTGTGTGTGTGTGTGTGTGTGTGTGTGTGTATGTATGTATGTATGTATGTAAAGAAAGAAGTAGTTTCCCTACCCCATATTCGTGCTGTACCATCTTCTGAACCAGTTATGATCTGGAATTCAAGGGGTGAAAATAATAAGGTGGAGCCAAATGGAGCCATAATAATAATTAATAGTAAGTCTCAAGAATTTCATGCTTTCCATTGATGTATAGGAAAATGTCATACTTTACCACTTGCATACCTAGCTATTATTCAAAGAGAAAACAGGCGGACACAGCAATAGACCCCCAATTCCTTAAGGTGAAATCAAGTTCAAGATAAAAAAAATCTATTATATAACCAAGCAAAAGAAGGAAAAACGTACTTGATTGACAGTGTTTCGGGCAACTATACAGTGCAAGTAGTCAGAGTGCCCTTTAAACACCATCTTAATTTTACCGCTCTCCTGAAAATTTTAAATCCAAGAAGCCAGAAACTAAGCAAGTGTTAGAAGGAACTTAATTCTTAGCTGTAACAAAGATCTGAGTGCAAAATTTACTTTTGACTGCACCATCCAGCTTAAAATACACATACCAAATCCCAACAATACGCACAAGAATCTCCAGCAGCAGAAAAAATGGATCCACTCTGTAAAATAAAATAAGATATCACCTCATCTGTTCCTTCTTCTTCCTACACTTTTTTTTTAATCTTAATGTAAAGTATAGAATAAGAGGGGGAAATAATAGTTTTATTAACCTGCGTATTGGTAGCAATTGCATTATTTTCAGGGATTGGAGAAAGAGCACCCCAGGGACCTCTAGAAGAAAGTAATAGATACATATAAAAGAATAAGAGTATTAGAGAGATAATCACATGCACAATGGGGAAAAAATACATATCTATTCTAACCTCAACTTGATTTTATAAATCTGATATAGACAAATATAAAGTTGTCATAAAAGCTATAGAAAAGAATAAAAGCATCCTTGCATTATATGTTGACCATTTTTAAAAGAATGGCTGCTGAATTAATAGTCAATAGATTATAGATGATTACATAATTTTTTTAAGTTCTAATTGAGATGTCAAAAAGACAATGCTTGTGTAATGGCCCAGATCCACCGCTAGCAAATATTGTCCTCTTGGGGCTTTCCCTTTCGGGCTTCCCCTCAAGGCTTTAAAACTCGTCTATTATGGGAAGGTTTCCACACCCTTATAAATGGTGATTTGTTCTCCTCCCCAACCAATGTGGGACATCACAATCCACCCCCCTTCGGGGCCCAGTGTCCTCGCTGGCACTCTTTCCTTTCTCCAATTGATGTGGGACCGCTCCCAAATCCACCCCCTTTGGGGCCCAGCGTCCTTACTGGCACATCGCCTCGTGTCTACCCCCCTTCGGGGAACAGCAAGAAGGCTGGCACATCGTCCGATGTTTGGCTCTGATACCATTTGTAACGACCCAGATCCACCGCTAGCAAATATTGTCCTCTTTGGGCTTTCCCTTTCGGGCTTGCCCTCAATGCTTTAAAACGCATCTGCTAGGGGAAGGTTTCCACACCTTTATAAATGGTGATTTGTTCTCCTCCCCAACCAATGTGGGACATCACAGCTTGAAAGTTGTGTGTGTGTGTATATATAGAAATACAGATATATATATCATGAAACATAAATCCAAGGCAAACCAGTCGTTTTCCTTTTTGTATAATATCAATAACAATATATTGAAGTTCAGATTTTAATATTACTTTGGCCTTTGAACTACCTTCCAATCTAGGTTGATGATGTGAGTGGTGTAATTACAAAAAAAAAAAAAAAAAAAAAGGGTATTGGTTACTCCAATTAGAGGCAGTGTGCTGTGTGCAAGATCACAAAAGATCCATAAATCTACTGTTGACAATAGAATATCTATCCATCTATCTAAAAGTCGCAGGTTTATTGCTAGTTGTGTGAAAAATATTTGATTGTGTGAAGACACCTAGGTTGGTCAAATTCCATTGAAGGCGAGTTTTTATGGTCTTTTTTTGTGGTTTCCAATAAAAAAGAAGGCTCGACTTCTTAGTGTTGGGACAATGATAATCAAGCTTGGAATTTTGGGTTTAGAATCGGTCTTTTTGATAAAGAGCTTTATAGTTGAGTGGCTCTTGCGAAGAAGTATAATTTGGTGTAGTTAGGGAATGGAGTAGATAGAATCCTTTGGTCCCTTGAGGGATCAGGTGGCTATTCTGACAAGTCGGCACTCCAAAATCCCTCTTCTTGGCCCACTAAAGCAAATATGGTACTGACTACCATGGTTTGGAAGCACCAAAGTCCTAAGAAGTAGAAGTCATCCTGCAGTCCTCACCGTTAAGGGGCCTAAACATTGATGATAGATTGCAAAGAAAGTTTAGGAGACGGTATCTTTCACCTTCGAGTTGTAGGTTATGTTTAAACAAGGGGGAGTCTCTTCAATCACTTAATCCTCCATCGTGATTTTGCATTTCGTTCATGGAACTACATAGCCAATGTGTTGGGTATTTCTTTTTGCCTCCCTGAAATGGTGAACGATTGGCTCATGGAAGAGCTTTATGCTTGAAATTTGAAAGGAAAATCTAAGGTAATGGACACTTGTGCCTCTAGAGCACTTTTATGGCACTTGTCATATAATAATAAATGCACAGGTAGAGTGTTATACATTTTCTTGACAACCTAATCATTTGGAAGATTCACCAAAGAATGCTAAAGAAAAATTAAGAAACAAATACAAAATATTTCGATAACCTACTTGTATTGAAGATTCATCAGGTCCATTACAGGCTCAATATGACTACCTGGAATAAAAAGAAAGGAATGAAGTTATTAAAACAACTGAAAAATAAAATGATACATAAAGTCAAAACAAAAATTTTAAATGAATGAGAAAGCAACAAGAAAAGAGAATGTTCAAATAGCCAAAGAAAACTAAGGCACATGAAAAGCCAGGCCTTACTCACGGGGTCATGAAACCTACACTACTACCACTACTACTACTACAGATAATACGTCTATAGACTATTACCTTGCAAATATATAGGCACCTCTATATCCGTGCATTCGTTCCACCTCCATCCTCGAATGTGACCATCATCCCCGCAGCTAAAAATGTTGTGCACAACTAGTCAGATATTTCAAACATGTTCATCTTGCTGTTTAAGTTGATTTTACAGGTTGTAGGTATATCTTTACTTTTCAATGAATGCAAATGCAATAAATAATCAAAAGCATTTAGGCAGTTGTTGAAGCTCAAACAAGTACAAGTCAATTAATTCAGGAAAACTATGAGTGCAGCCTGTGGAAGATTAATATAAAAAAGATCTGATAACCATTCAGTCTCAACAGAATTAATCTTCAATTGGGTCTAATTTTCTCAAAAGCAACATTAGACTGGTTCTGCACCCAACTATAATTTTACCTACATATACACATTCGTACATACATGCATAGATATTCAAATTAACTTTAGAATCAGCATTGAGATAATTACGATGGAATGACAAATGCAATTAACGATATAGTACTGGGGTTGAGAGAAACCTCAGTAATAAAGTATTGTCGCCAGCATCAAAAAATTTAACATCATATGCAGGTCCATCGTGCCCTTGCAGAAAGCAATGAGGCTCTGCTGCCAGCAAACTAGAGAAAGGCACAACGTGAACCATTAGTACAAGTTTGCAGCCAGGACTTTTAAAATAAATTGAGACTAAGATAAAATGTACTTGCCTTTTAGTATTGCCATAACCAGAATGCTGAAATAGGCATGAAAAAGAGGTGTAATCAGGTTAGGAATTCAAAGTACTAAACTACAGAGAAGAAGACGCACACCACCCTAGTATAGACTACTAATCAAGAAGAAAGAGGAACTTTTCAGGGGCACAAACACTGAACACCATAAAGTAAACTTCTTTTGCTTCTGTAATTGAATATCTGTTTAAATCAATCAATTGAGTGGCAAGTATTCTACAACTCATGATAAAACACTGAAGGGTAGGACTAATGTGGTCATAAAACAAACCACTTCCTTCAAAACAAAGTTTTATTATTGGAAATGGAAAGAATTTGAATCCTAGAATCCTAATTCCTAAAGAATTTGATTCATCCTTTATAACTTCATAAATATCTCCATCATGCACAAGAAACGAGCGTGAAAGCAATGAAGCTCTTTGGAGGAAGCTCATTATGGCCAAGTATGGCATCACTTTAGATGTCCATAGGTCGGGTTCTATCTTCACTCTTCCAAATAGGTCCACAGTGTGCTATTTATGCTCTCAAAGATTTGATCTCCTTTAGAACCAAAGGCTCAGTTAGCAATGTTATGCATACTAGTTCGTGAGGAATTATTGGGCTGGTTCTGACCCTCTTTATTTGGTTTTCCCCTGACTTTTCTCCCTTTTATGTAAGGAAAGTATGCCCATCAAAGAAGCTTGGAACCCAATTTCTCTCAATTGGGATCTCAATTTTAGAAAACAATTTTTGGAACATGGAACCAATGTTACCAGCCTTTTGTTGAATTTCTCTTTCATCAATGATATTGAGAAATGGATGTGGCAGTCGATCCTTATCGAATTTCTCTCATAAGTTTTTACTCAAATACCTGCTTTTAATTGAGCTCCACTGGCTCTTCGCCTTTGATATACTATTTGTTGGCCTAGATATCTTTAATACCTCAAATTATTCTTAAGAGAGCTTGATCACAATTCACAAAGGCATCAACGTTCATGATAAGATTCAAAGGAGATTTCTTTCGTGTTCCCTCTCCCACGGTAAGTGTTGCAATTGTAAATGCGCTCATGGGTCGAATGGCCACCCTTCCTACTTATCACTTCGACGATAAAATTTGGAACTTCATGCTTCTAAATTTTAAGTGGCACGCAGCTCTTTTCTAGGATATGAGGGGCCTCCTCTCTCCCCCTTTCGATGCTCAAGAAGAAATAGATCCTTTCATTGCAACTAGCTAGCGCCTTTTGTAGCCATTCGCGGATTATAACAAACAATTGCCTCTGGAGCCACTTGAAGAAGTCTTTTGGACAATCTTATTCTAGTAACTCCTATTAGATTCACTCTTTATGATCCTTTCTGTAATCATCATTTATAGCCTCTTCAATTCTCTTTCTATCATTTAGAAGAGCATCTCGTAACCTTCTTTGGCTTGGGAATTCAGAATTTCTACCCCGCCCTTTGGCAAACCTATTAGTTCAGTCTAAACAAAGAAGCCCTCGAACAACCTCCTTAAGGTTCACTATTCCACGCCCTTCAAATACTGATTGAATAAGCAAAAAACAAACAACAAACAACAAAATGAATATCAATACCAAAAATAAAAAAGATTACCAGCTTAGAGATGCAGGAAGCGATAGAATAAGAGGCAATGGATCCATCACTGGAGGCGACCACGATGGACTCAGGGCAACCACTTAAAGACGGCGCCCACGCAGTTCTGAACACCGTCCGAGTTTGTACCTCTCTCTCTTTGTATAGACTCTCTCGGTAAGCATCCTCGTCCCAATTCGTCGCGTCCCCCAACATTTTACGACCGCTTGCTATGGCTCCTTTTCCAGCCTCTCAAATGTTAGCTTAAAACGACAATGGCGAAGCTATGAACTCTGTTGCAGCGGCGTTAGAGCTAAAATTTGCGTCAGACAATCAGAAGACGCCCTTCGACGGCTCGCCGGAGGAACTTACCGAAGCAATTGGCTGCCTGGATCGTGAAGCCAATGAATGCATTGGCTTTAAAGCTGCCGTGTCGTTTTTTGGTGAACGATGGATGACAAATACCATACGACATGTCGTTCGCAGAAGATTGTTTTTACTGATTTTTTCCCCCTCTAATTTCACCCAAGTCTATAAGAAAGTTGGCTACAAAAAATTAAATAATTATTAGTTTAGTTATTCTTAAATTTGTATTAAATTACTTATCAAATACAAATTTAAAGCTAAATTATCTTATCCATTCAAAGCTTTTCTCTCGACCAATATTCCTTAGATATACTTCAAACACTCTCTCATCTTAAATTAGTGATTAGTTTGAAGGCTCTGCTACTAATGGTACTTTTCGTTACTATTGCTGAAAGTTTGAATAGTCGAGACTTACAACAACATATGGTTTCTTTGCCCAAACACTAGCTTTTCGAGACCGTGTTTTAGTATCGTGCAAAGCTTGTTGGTAACTACAACAGGTACTAATCAGCAATTTTAAAAATGGGAATATTCAAAAACTCGTAAACACTCTAAATTAGAAATCTAAATTTATAGTAAAATTGAACCACATAAACATTCATGCTCAAAAAACAATTAGATCCGAACAGTTTAAAGTTATGTCGATTCGAGCCGCACAATTACCTCGTACTCGAAAAACAAGTGAAATCATCATCACAATACATTTCACAAATTTTGTTTTTAAGGCTTAAAAAATGCATTAGTAGTGAGAATGTTTGCTTAATCCACTCTGAAAGTTCTCTATTTATAATCAAATAAATTATAAAGATATAGAAATAGTAATAAATGGAAAGAAGAAAGATATGATCAAATATTAGATATTTATCTTGTAATAAAATATCAAATATAATATATATAGTAAATTATAATTCAGTAATAAATATCGGACGGAAAGAGAGGGCCATCAATCATTATATATATATTTTTTTTTGTTAAAATATTAATAATTATGATTATTTCCATTGTGGCCCAAACCAGAAACGTACAAAAGCCCTTCTCGCAGTTCACGAAAGCCCATCGGCATCTCCGATGCCATGGTAGAGCGAGCCAACCATCGTATTAAAGCAGGAAAAAAAAAAGGTGGACTTTGAACCGAGGAAGAACCCTAATATCCATTTCCGGGCACGACCAAATTCCAGCTCTGCCTTCCGGATCTGATGCTCTCTACCCACAAGGTTCTCGCACAACTCAGGTGCTTCGTTTTTCTTCTTCTTCTTCCTTCTCCTCCTTTTCTCATTCCGATTACTCGTTTTGTTTCCTAATCTGTCTTACTTAGACCCTTTCTTCTTTTCCTTTATTTGGTTTTTGACTTTCATTTCGTTTCGTCCACCATGCGACTGATGGTGACGATGAGATGGAAGAATAGCATTTGTGGATCTGCTGAATCTCCTTATATCTAGTGTGCTGTTTTTCTGTTCTTAATTTGACTCCCCCTCCCCTATTCTGGCTTTGGAATTTGTGTTGGTCATGTCATCGGTGTTTTCGAAGGATTTTAAGGACTGTGGTTTGACAGGTAATTCAGATCAAGTGCAACGATTGTGATTGACTGTCACTGTTGAAATATTTTGTCGAGATGGACGATAACAATACTTCTTCAGGAGCTCCCAAGGAAAACGCAGTTCAAGAAAATGATGCAGGCCAAATTACCAAGGATGAGAGCTCATTGGGGAACATGGTTCGTAGGCTTCAAGATTCTATGTCTATTGGCAAAATACACAAATTCTGGGAAACTCAGCCTGTTGGACAATTCAAGGACGTCGGGGATTCTAGTTTGGCTGAAGGGCCAATTGAGCCACCAACCCCATTATCTGAGGTCAAACAAGAGCCTTATAATCTTCCTAGTGCCTATGAATGGACAACATGTGACATGGACTCTGAAGAGACCTGTCTCGAGGTGTACAATCTCTTGAAGAATAATTATGTTGAAGATGATGAAAACTTGTTCAGGTTCAACTATTCCAGGGAATTTCTAGGATGGGCTTTGAGACCTCCAGGCTACTTCGCAAGCTGGCATATTGGAGTTCGTGCTAAGGCTTCCAAGAAGCTGGTTGCTTTCATCAGTGGTGTCCCTGCTAGAATCCGGGTGCGGGAACATGTTGTGAAGATGGCAGAGATCAATTTCTTGTGTGTTCATAAGAAGCTTAGATCAAAGAGACTTGCACCAGTTATGATCAAAGAGGTTACACGGAGGGTTCACCTGGAAAATATATGGCAAGCGGCTTATACAGCTGGAGTTGTTCTTCCAACCCCAATAACAACTTGCCAATACTGGCACAGATCTTTAAACCCAAAGAAGCTCATTGATGTTGGGTTTTCAAGGCTTGGGGCAAGGATGACAATGAGTCGAACCATAAAACTTTACAAGCTACCTGATTCACCGGTTACCCCGGGATTTCGAAAGATGGAACTTCGTGATGTCCCTGCTGTTACTAGGTTGCTTAGAAATTACATGAGCCAGTTTTCTGTTGCACCAGATTTTGACGAAACCGACGTTGAGCATTGGCTTCTTCCCAAGGAGAGTGTAGTAGACAGTTTCTTAGTCGAGAGTCAATACACTCGTGAAGTCACTGACTTCTGCAGCTTTTACACTCTTCCTTCATCCATTCTTGGAAACCAAACATACTCAACTTTGAAGGCCGCTTATTCATATTACAATGTCTCCACCAAAACTCCATTGTTACAGTTGATGAATGATGCTCTTATTGTTGCGAAAAAGAAGGATTTTGATGTCTTTAACGCATTGGATGTCATGGAGAATGAGTCCTTCCTGAAGGAACTAAAATTCGGTCCGGGTGATGGGCAACTTCACTATTACCTGTATAATTATCGGATTCGCCATGCATTGAAACCAAGTGAACTCGGGCTTGTACTGCTATAGTTGGATTTATTACTGTTTTGGTTTGAACTGTGAACCACAAAATTGGTCATTTTTTAATGGTGGCTAGGTTTGATGATGCATTCTTCCTCTGTTTTGTTCTTCTGTGTCAACAGCAAAGCACTAAGGCAGCACTAAACGTCTGGAGAATTGAGAGAAAAAAACATTGCCGGATGATGTAAAGTGTTCTGCAGATTTTTCACTCTGCTGGTTTTCCAATTTCTGTAGAATTTTAATTTCCTTCTTTTCCTTTTCTTTTTTCTCATCCTTGCAGGGTTTTGCAGATGCAGACTGTTTGTACCATGGACAATTGCAGCATTTTCCTATACTTGTAAGTCCAAGCATGTGCTTATAAGCTTAATCAGATACTCGTTCCATGTTCTTCATTGAATAAAGAAATTTCCCCTTAGAGTAGAAGAGAGGATCAGATCATTTAAGCTTCGGTGGGGGAATGGATTGTTCAAGTGAATCATTTCTACTAACACGATTTTGTTCTAAGCAAGAGTTGTTTGAATAGATTATTATTTAACTTAAAGTTTCTTATTCATGTCGTTGGCTAAATCTTTATCCTTTAAGATGTCCTTGTTTTTGTCTTGTTTTTGTCTTGTTTTGTTTTGTTTGACTCAATTAATACAACTTTGTAAGCATTCGGTCCAAGATTTGGTTAGAAATGTTTAAACCCTTGTCTGAGATCTGCAAGACTGGCGAATGGAATAAGTAAACTGATGCATAATTGAAGTTATGAGTCGTAAAAATCCAATTATGAATTTGAATTTCACAAAACTGAATTGGTCATTCTGAAAATCTACAAATTTGACTAGGAAGATCGACCAAAATCCCACTTGAACTGAGTTCATTTAACAGCATGTGACAAGGCTAGCTAGCCACACTTGAGCTTTGACATTCTTTCAAGAACATGAGGTTATCTAAAAGGTCCCAGTGGGCTAGCTCGGCCAATTAGCTTATCTGATGGATGAGCTTCCACAATCTTTCGAGAGCATGAACTCATAAGGCAGTCTTGTGAGCTCGCCCTCATGTCAACCCAACATGGTAAGGTTAGGTCGCTTCTTCCATAGCGTCTCACTTACTTTATTTGCAACAGTTCAATTAGTTCATTTCAACACTACTTGAACAGTTCAATTAATTCATTTCAACGTTACTTGAAAGAAAACACTTATTTGGGAAATCAGACAGAGTATACAAGCTCATCTGTCAAGCATCATCGAGCCATGTGAAAGCTGCATGGCTCTTCATAGTGTAAGAGTTCGCTCAAGATTCATTCACAACAATCCTATGACTTCATGTCAATGCTATTTAAAAGCAAACACTCGTTTGAGAAATCCCATGAGCTTATCCACTAACCTCATTGAGCAGGTTGCTTCTAGGCCTTTCAAAGAGTAGGAGTTCACCCAAGCTTTATTCGCGCACCAATGAGTTCATTCCAATGCTATTTAAAAGCAACACTCATTCGAGAATGCAATACAATACAGTGATGGCCTCATCCACCAACGGAGCAGGCAACTTCTAGGCTCTTCAAAGAGTGGGAGTTTTCACCGAAGGAACCTGGCTAAGCCTTAAGGGTAAGCTCATAAAAGCAACTCAACTGAGTTATCCAGCTCCTTTCCCTTAACAGTTTCGTACGGGTGTGGTGTTTTCTTCGATCTTTGGTGCGGTTAAATAGATTCTTTTATGAGCTCATCTGACTAAGGCACAAGCACATGTACTAAGAATCTGTAATGACCCAAGTCCACCGTCAGCAGATATTGTCCTGTCTAGATTTTTTCTTTCAAGCTTCCCCTCAGGGTTTTTAAAACGCGTCTGCTTGAGAGAGATTTCCACACCCTTAGAAAGAATATTTCATTCTCCTCTCCTCTCCAACCGACATGGTATCTCACAAAATCCAACTCTACCAATCAAGGTAAAAATATGTCACTACTTACCGGGAATCTCTGTTACTAGATTCATATTGGAAGAAGCAAATCACCTCAAAGACAATCTCTGTTACTAGATTCATATAGGAAGAAGCAAATCACCTCAAAGACAGTTGATATAAAACGAGCAATAATGAGTTTCCATGTGGTATCAAATGCTCCATCCAACAACTTGAAGGCAGGCAATCAGAAAGATGATTTCTAAAAGAATAGGAAATGGTAATTAGCAAATTTACCTGCTGTATATCCCAAAGCATAAATGCTGTCTCCCCCTTTCTGTCAAAGTTGTCTTAATGTGACATCTAAGTTAATTATTCTCTCTAAATTCTAGTGACTTGATTGCTATGTGTCCACATCGCATTGGTTCCATAATACATAAACTATAATTTTCTACATCACTATTCTTTATTTATTAATTTACTTTTAATAGTCTAAAGAGATTAACAATTCCCAATTAGCAAAGCAAATTATTCAATGTGACAACCAATAGATTGACCATACAAAACTACCCAAATTCTTTGTTTAATTCTCTACTACAACATTAGACCAACAATACATCGAATCAATAACATTACAGTTTAGAAATACCTTTCCCAATTCCCTTCTGAAGATTGGGTCTCTGAAATCCAATTCCTCTAAGCTTCAGCATTTTTAAAACTAAAAGTTCAGGTAACACATCAGGTATCCCACAAGATTATGACAATAAATACTATGAAATCAAATAATACTCTGAGATAAGTAAAGGGTCTAAGGCCTGAAATATAAAGAGTATTGCCTTTTCTTTCTTATAGAAAGATTAGTAGTATTTGTAAATGATTAAAAAAAAATTACTCTAAGGACAGAGCCCAAGCATACTGCTAGCAGATATTGTCTATTTTAGCCTGTTACGTATCGTCGTCAGCTTCACGGTTTTAAAACGCTCTATGAAGGAGAAGTTTCCACACCCTTATAAGGAATGTTTTGTTCCCCACTCCAACCGTTGTGGGACCTCACAGTTTCAGTAACACTGTGTTTTCTTCCGTTTCTAAACTACCCTTTCAAAGTTAAAAACAATTACCCACAGCTTCTTCTGTATCCTTCAAAGGAAGCCTCAAAGATTAAATCAGTCAGTAGAACTCCGAGACATCACTAATATTCTGGCTTAACAAAAGAAGAGAAAAATACAGAGAATCTTTTAAGAACAGAAGATGCTAGGTCTATACATTCATAGCATACTACTGCCTTATTTATACATAACATGCATACTTACAATCATATTCTTGTTTCCGTGCAATAAGATGATATCATGATGTTTGATCTCAAATCCTAGTATATTGCAACTGACCTTTTCAGTGATCTCAAGATCCTGAGGTGCTTCACAGATAATTGAAGCTCGTAGTAAGAGTTTATTGGATAAGAACTAAATTAGTCATCCACTTGAGTAAATTCTAAAGCATTTGCATCTGGATCTCTTGTAAAGATTGCTGGCCTTCCTGACTTGCTAAGCGTATAGGGAATACCTACAAGACCCAGCAGGAAAATATGAAACCATATTCTTACTATGGCATACAAAATAATTACCATTTATGTCTTGTAACGTGAAAAGTAACAAACTATTCAGCTATGTTAAGGGAAGATTGTTACCAGCTTTATCAAGGATCACTTTCAACTTCGATACATCCCGAATTCCAATACAAGTATGACGGTCCCGACCTCCGTGTTCAGGTCGCCCAGACATAGGATCAGGATTTGGAAGTTCCATTAAATGGATCATCTCAGCACCCACCCACAACCAAGCACCTCTATAAGGAAGCTTGTCGTGTGGCCTCGCCTCGTTTATTTTAAGACCTACAGTTGAATTCATCATTTAAATGTATATTTCCAATGAGTATTCAACATTACTGATGACAAATAGTGGTCCATGGAGAATTGACTTACCTAGAATGTTTAAATAAAAGTGAAGTGACCTCTCAAGATTCTCACAAAGCACTCCAACATGGTGAACGCCAACAGCTCCAATATCTATAGTACATTAGAACTCAGTAAACATATCTCCAAACAAAAGAAAGAGGAAACAATGTACACTAAAAGAGAGTCAAATGGTACACAAATATCATCTTATTCTTAATCTAAAAACATTGACAATACTCTTTTTCCTTCAAATTCATGAGCTCCTCCCCCATCCAAACAACTAGTTGTTGAATGTTGTAGATACCACCACAGGAATGAATTGTGGTTTCCTTCAAATTCATGTAAAGCTTTGAAAGTGTATAAATTACTTAATAAGAAGCAGTCGAATTTGTCCAGCAAAAGTGATTTCAAGTACTTGAGCATATGTGACACACATGATCATGTAGACAATAGATAGGCAAATCTTTAGAGTATGAAAGCTACCATTATGAACATCAANTTCAATTGGCTCTTTGTCTTTCTCAAGCACGTCTGGTTCAATACCCCCCTCTTTGGCTCTTGTTGTAAAGCAAATTCCGACAACCACCAGTCCTTCCCATTTTCCCGTAACATTTGAATGATGAGTTTGTAGATACAGAACTGAAATTGAGCAGACTCACCTGTTCTTCAGAAGAAAAAAAAAAAAAAAAAAAAAAAAAAAAAAAAAAAAAAAAAAAAAAAAAAAAAAAAAAAAAAAAAAAAAAAAAAAAAAAAAAAAAAAAAAAAAAAAAAAAAAAAAAAAAAAAAAAAAAAAAAAAAAAAAAAAAAAAAAAAAAAAAAAACAAGAATAATGGAACACATTAACCAAAAAAAATTACAATCCATTCCAAATTAGAGAACTACCAACTCTGAAAATGAAGATATTTTAATTGTTTTCATTAATTTCCTCCCGATTGGTGCACGTTCTAGCTCTACAAAAATTTCCACTACTAAATTCGCACTCATTTTCATTACAATCTACAAACACTCGACAATCTACAACTCAAATACTATGCTGTAAGTAGCATAAACACAATCAAAACGATTAGAAAACAATAGATAAACGATAAAAAGACACTAGTTGAAGTTTTCGGCTTCAATACAACCGGAGAAACTGGAGTAGACAAGGAAACCTTTTGTTTCAGAAGACTGGCGGATGGTGGCGTTGATGGGCTAAGAAGGGACGCCATTTTAGAGCAGAAATTAGGCCGTCGCTGTATCTACTTGATGTACAAAGCCCTAAGAGGCCCAAATCGCCAGTTCCTAGCGCCTGGTTCACAAATCAGTTAAGGCCACTGCTCGGCTCCGCCTCTGACTATCTTGACGAAGATTTCAAACTTTATATTTTAAAAATTAATTAATTAATTCAATATAAATTTTATTTTTATGTTTAAAGAATTTAAATTTTAAAATTTTATAAATTAAAAAAAAATCCCAAATTTAAGTAAATTAAAAATTTCACTCAAATTAATTCTTTAGAAAACTTACCCAAAACATTAAAGTTTTGGAGTTTTATGATAATCTTAAAAAAAAAAAAAAATCAGACTAAATTATTGAAAAAACATTTAATTTGTTTTAAAATGTTTTATTCCGTTTTCAATAATAATAATAATAATAATTAATATAATTCCTAGATGGAAATCATTACTTTTAACTTGTACTAAAAAAAGATTAAACATTGAAGAAAGCAAAGGAATTTATTTATTTAATTAATTTTAAAAGTACGAACGACAGTGAAATTTGAGGACCAAAGGAAAAACAAGTGGACGGATAAGGATAAATAAAACGACAAAAAAACATTTTCCACGTGACAACTTTTTTTTTTTTTTTTTTGTCAGTTTTTCAGTTTTATGATCACGTTTTAAATGGGGGCTTGCCTTGTTTTATTTCCATATTTTAACCGTTCCCTAATTTGAAAATAAAATATATATATATATACATTTCATCATTAAGCTATTAATGTGGGTCCAAAATTCCTTTTTTCTTTTGTCATTAAGTATTTTTGGCTAAAAAAAAGCCATGATTGACATTATAATATTTTTTTATTATTTTTTAGTTCAATTTTATAATATTGTTATGAGTTTTTATAAAGCTAAATTAGGGTTTAATAAACTATATAAACTTTAAATTAACAATCTAATATTTATATTTTAATTCAGTCTATTTATAATAATTTAGTCATTAAACTTTAATTAACTCTTTCTAATCTCCCACTTGAAATCAATACTGGCTTTGTTTGTCAATGGTCAACTCCCCTTCAAATGCCTTTTTAAAATTACATGTTCAAATATAAAAATTTATTTTAATTTTTATTGAAATGTATTTATGACGTAAGTATGATTGCTATATGACCCCAACCTCTTGCGTCAGCTGTGATTCCTTCACGTTTATTCTTATTTAAATTATGAATTTTGGTTTTTTTTTTTTAATTCCATATATTAGATGGAAAATAATAATAATAATTATTATTATTCGTTTAATTAAACTCAAATTGAAAAAAAGTCAAAATTCATTTATAAAATAAAGTAATTAGTCTTACCAACTGTCGACCATTTGATTAATTCCAGTCAAATTATTTAATTAAGACTTCGTTAAATATTAATTATTTAATTACTTCTTCTTTTTCTTTTTCTTTTTTTAAATTAAGCCTATAATTTATTTATTGTAAACAATGGATGAAAAAACAAACACAAGATTATAAATATTTCAATTTTTTGGAGACAATTATAATTACTGAAAATAATGTTTAACTGTAAAACAGTAATATTATTTTAAAATAAAGTATTGTTTGTATCCATTTGACTTTTTTAAGTTTATTTTTAGATTAGTTTTTACAAGAAGGTTGGTCAAATGGCTGGCAAGTCAACTAACTGTCCGCACTATATAATATTTTAATTAAATTTATCTCAGACATGTTTGACTATATATATATATATATATATATATATTTTTTTTTTTAACTTAGGTTAAAATCTATTACGGAAGCAATGTGATTAGTACTCGTATAAATAAGAGAGAACGCTTACACGAAAATTACAAACTCCCGACTCAATTTATTTTAGCATGATTGATGGTTATTCCCAAATGAGAATTTTCAGTTGTTTATTGTTCAGTTTGGTGTGCGGTATTGTCCAAGTCTGATTTACTTGACTAGATGTATCCGCTTTCGTAATTGATATATAGAAACCTATAACAAGTCAAGCCCACTGTTAGCAGATATTGTCATATTTGAGCATTTCCTGAACAATGTACATTCTTGCACGAATCTTTTGCATTGCTTCGTTGGTAACTTAGACTAATTCAGGACCCACCAATTCACTTTCCCCTACTTCATCAAAGCATAACGGAGTCTTGCACTATTTACTAGACACGGGCCCGAGAAAGGGTGGATTGTAAGATTCCACATCGGTTGGAAAAGGGAACGAAACATTATTTATAAGGGTGTGGAAAGCTCCCTCTAGCATACACATTTTTAAAATCTTGTTAAGAAACCCAAAAGAGAAAGCTCAAAGAGGAGAATATTTACTAGTCGTGGACTCGAGGTGTTACAAAACCTATGGAAGATAAAACCATGTTTTGTTTAGTTTTCTTACTAGTTATAAAAGTGATCGGAAAGTTTCCCGCTCTCGAGTGTCCATTCCACCTAGAGTTATTCGCAGTCTCCCTACAGAATAAAACTTCTTTGTTTGGTGTTGATGGTAACAACTCAAGCCCGAGTAGTAAGAACTCTAGACGGGATTCCATATGCTCCATGTTACTCAGATCAGAGCGTAAGCTAATAATGATGCTTTCAGCTAACAGACTCTCACCGAGGGTAACACTCAACCGAAAAATAACAAATATTTTAATTTCATAAATGAAAATTCCACGTGTTTTTATAGCAATCCATAGAAGCAATATAAAAATAATAGAATATACGCATAAACAAGGAAGAAGGTTCGTGGATCCCAAGCCATTTCCAGCCCAACGCGGCTGGGTGGTCCGCGTGAACGCGTTCCCTGTGTGACCAAAAGGTAAAGAAAGCCGGAACCTTCGGCTCCATCTTCCTCAACCCAGCCAAATCCCTTAACCCAATATATATATATATATATATATATATATATAATTAAAAAAAAAACAATAAAATAATAATAAAAGAAATGGGTCCCACTCCCCAGTCGCCGTCAAACTATCCTTTACGCGTCCCCACTCCCCCACACGCTTCCCAATTTCATTTCCTTCTCCGTTCATATAAATATGATCCATTTCCCCCAAATCTCATACTCACTTCCTTTGTCTTCCGTTCATACCCAATTCCAAAAATTTAATCTTTCATGGAAATTAGCTCGTTCCCATTTCTTAATCAGGACGATTTGTTGCCCATCTTCAACCTCTTCTCTGAAATGGACGACAATTTCAGTGTGAATTACAGCCCCAAAAAGCGGCGCCGACAAGACGACGACGACGATGACCAGACTCAATTCAACAAGACTTCTTTCGACGACGACGAGTTATTAAAGCTCCCCTTCTGGTTCGACGATGACAAACAACAACACTGGATTATGGAACAAAAGCCCGAATTCCAGGTTTTCGATGAGAATTTGACTCAATTCGTAGCTAAAAAGCCCCGCCGTGCAACGCCGGAAAATACCCATTCGTCTCCGGCGAAGGGTGGTGCTGGAACACAGCACCGGCGACTATGGGTCAAGGATAGATCCAAGGATTGGTGGGACCAATGCAATCACCCGGATTTCCCCGATGAGGAATTCCGGCGGGCTTTTAGAATGAGTAAAGCGACATTCGATATGATCTGTCAGGAATTGGACTCGACGGTAATGAAAAAAGACACAATGCTTCGTGTCGCGATTCCGGTCCGGCAGCGGGTTGCGGTATGTATATGGCGGTTGGCTACCGGCGAGCCGCTCCGGCTAGTGTCGAAACGGTTTGGGCTTGGAATCTCGACCTGCCATAAATTGGTTCTTGAGGTCTGTTCTGCAATTCGGAAAGTTCTAATGCCGAAATTCCTGCAATGGCCGGAGGATTCAAAATTAGCGAAAATCAAGCAAGAATTCGAGTCGATTTCAGGAATTCCCAAGGTCGGTGGCTCAATTTACACGACCCATATCCCAATAATCGCACCCAAAAACAACGTCGCCGCTTATTTCAACAAACGCCACACGGAACGCAACCAAAAAACATCATATTCCATCACCGTGCAAGGCGTCGTGGATCCCGCCGGCGTGTTCACCGACGTATGTATCGGGTGGCCGGGATCCATGCCGGACGATCAAGTTCTTGAAAAATCCGCCCTTTTCGAAAGGGCAAACATGGGTCTTTTGAAGGATGTCAGCATCGTCGGAAATTCAGGGTACCCATTAACGGATTGGCTTTTGGTGCCGTATTCAGCGCAGAATTTGACATGGACGCAACACGCTTTCAACGAGAAGGTATCGGAGATTCAGGGAGCGGCGAAGGCGGCGTTCGGGCGGCTGAAGGGGCGGTGGACTTGCCTGCAGAAGAGGACAGAGGTGAAGCTGCAGGAGCTGCCGGTGGTGCTCGGAGCTTGCTGTGTTCTTCATAATATTTGCGAGATGAGGAAAGAAAGGTTCGATCCAGAGCTGAAATTTGAGTTTTTTGATGATGAAATGGTGCCGGAGA